CAAAAACATGGTTTTGAAGATTGTTTCAAACTTGCCGTTTCAAGCGTTCACGATGGGTAACTATCGTTCCGATCCGATACTTCTGCGTCGAGGTAGAGAGGCTGTTTTTTATTGGGACATTTTGCAAAGCTTCAAAAACCATTTGAAGTCTCCCCTCTGGCAACCATGATGCGGAGCTATGTGGAGCTTCAATTATCGATGAAGAATGGGTGCTGTAATCCGCGCATTGTCACGAAGAATTTGAACCCCCACTGTCGATCTTAGCCGGCGCAATTCGAACAGACGCTAACGAAACGGAAACTGTGGTCGGCCGGATAAAATTGATTTCACGATGAAAAATTATTTTTAGCAACGTATCAATGTGGTGGAGATCAAGCCCTACCCCGTTGCAAAAAATGATCTGGCTTTAATGAAGGTATCAAGAGCTTTATGGTGGCTGAAAGTCGTAGCTAGATAAAAAGACTCTTATGAGCTTATTATCGTCTTTAAATACGCCATTTCCCTCTTAGCCTTTCTGGATTTTTTTGCAATTTTTGGCAGAGGAATAGCTAATCTTTATTATCTCGATTATACCTATCTTTCATTAAGATATAATGGATTTTATAGTGACTTTAGAAATTTTTGGAAGCTAGGAAAATCCAGAAAATAATTCAAACATTTGGACTTTGGATTTCGTCATTTTCGTGCTTCGTGCAATTTCATCTCGAAAACCCAAAAAATTTCGAAAACGAATTTTGATAAGCGTTATGAAAGCTTTTCATATCTAAAAACTGTGTAAAAAACCAACACAACCATCTTTGTATCGTTGTTAGCGACGCTAGTAGGGCGAACTTTCAACCCCGTAAACTATTCAGAAATTGATCCGCAATCATTCAGCTCGAGCGCAAGGTCAGCCTCCAACCCGGCACTACCGAGAAAATCCGGATCGCAGCCAGCAAATGGGCATACGATCCTGATGAGGTCTTCATCATGGGATGGGGCCAGACGAACCGTAATAGAAGCGGAAATGGCTCCACTGTCCTCAAGGGTTACGCGGCTACGCAGATCGATTGGGAACGCTGCAAAGGGGCGCGAACACGCCTGTCCGAGTATCTCTGTTTCGAGCCAGTAGATGGCATCTCGAGCGCGTGTGGCGTAAGTTGCTGAGTTGCTATCATACGATGGGCATTTTAATTTTAATTAACAATCTCAATATGTCGACTTTTTCCGTTTTCTTAAAGTCAGATTTTCGACATTATTTTACTCGACATCATGATTTTCGAATTTTTTTTGGATAGATAAAAGAATTTTAGGGCGATTCCGGCAGTCCTATCGTAGCACGACGTACCTTCAATAGTGAAATCGTGCAAATTAGTTTGGTGAATGGGCCAGGCGGTACCAAGAATGACTGTGATGCAATCACAGGTCAAAAAAGTATGTTTTGGAAGCTAATCCCTCTTCCACTGTCTTCTGGATTGCCTACTGATCAGTTTACCCTTGCCATCTCTCACTCACTCTCTTTCTCTCTCTATCTCTGTCTCTCTTTGTCTCTCTCTCGCTCCCTCTATCTCACTCTTGCCCGTTAAATGAAGCCTTTACAGCCGCGGGAAACCTTCTATCCAACTACTGCGACTGGATCGAGGGCACGATCGGCAAGAAGAATTGCGTGGACGTTTTCGATTTTTAATATGTTTGAAAAGCCGCGTAAGCTGCTGTCCATTTAATAAATTGTTCTGCAAGGTCGTACCACAAAAATGGCGTCTTCTTTCGCTTTGGTAAACCAAGAAACGATCGATGCTTTCATTTTCTGAATTCCGCAACAATTCCAGGACATAATTTTGCGGAAGCAAAGAGTTTTGTCTGAAGGACAATGAGAAAATTTTGCATTTTGTGCTACTAATACAAGCTACTAAAACCACTCAGAACAAAGAATGCGTGTGTCGGCTTGGGATTTTGGCTGCATTCAATCCTTGCCGTTGGCGTCTTTCGGGGTCGGCGATTTCCCATGTCTTTACAGCGCAAGCGTTGATTAATGGTTCACTGGCGCTTGGAAGTTTAATTCATTAATACAGGGAACCAACCACCTTTGAATCCCCTTAAAAAGCTTGGCAAACGGTCTCTTTACGATGTCCAGCCTTGCAAAATTGGAGTGTTCTTGGAAAGAGCCGGGATGAATCATGCTCCCCCAATTAGGGGAAAAAGTGGCAAGGATTTGCTGTCAGGTACATTTAAATTTCGGGGTCCATGTCGGCTACGCGGGGGGGAAAATTTTACGCGGGGGGGACGGACTGCTGGGGTCGAGCTAACTATTTTTTTGCGTTTCCTTTTGCTACAAACAAAACTCTTGGTATATTTTTTGACGCTCTGTCGAATGGCACTAAAGAAATTTTGTAAAAATGTCGAAAATGTCGAAAATTTGATTTCCTTCTATATCCTCCATGAAAACAACGTTTAATACTTGTTTTTGTTACACCTATTTCATATTACATTATTTTGAGCTAAAATTAAAACTCTTAGTATATTTTTGGATGCTCTATCGAATGGCATCATTAAAATGTCGTAAAAATAGCGCGAATATCGAAAAACAGCCGCTCAAACCGATTTTCAAAGCTTATTTTTTGTATTTGCCATAACTTTTTTATATTACACTAATTTTAGCTAAAACAAAAACTTTTAGTATATTTTTCGATGCTCTATCGAATGCCGTTGCGAAAATTCCGAGAAAATAACGAAAACAGCCAAAAAGGCCTGCCTGTCCCGTCCCCCCGCGTAAAATTTTCCCCCCCGGGTAGCCGACATATACCAAATTTCGGATCTTGCCGACAGTAAAAAATTCTCTAGCGAACAAGAGAGAGAGAGAGAGGAGGTGGAGAAAGCGAAAGGGAGAGAGAGGCCTTGGCAACCAGTTGCTTTTCGATGTCATACAAAAATTCGTTGATTGAAGAATCCCAGTCCTATCCAACCTGCCGAATAAACTTTTCTGTTCGCAACTCCGAGGAAAACAAGCAATAAAATTGTTAACAAATTTATCTCGGAAAAACAGAAACCATTCATTGTATCGCAATCACGATAATGAGAGAGAGAGAAAGAGAGAGAGCTGGAGAGAGTGAGAGAGAGAGAGAGAGAGAGAGAGAGAGAGAGTGGCTTCACGTTCTTTTACTGCTGGCGCTCAACCCATAAATATTCTTCTGCTCCACATGACTATAATAAGATCGAACATTCTGATAAGTTCCAGTGACAGTCTTCTTTTGTCCAGTCTTGGTCATAATCTCCATCGTAAACGGGATCTGCACCTTAGCCATGTAGATGACCAGCTGCACCCTAAGCTTGCTCCACGGCTTTACTTCCACGCGGTTCTCGGTCTTGAATTCGACAGTGTGGCTCTGTCTCCGGTTTGTCGTCCAAGTCTCAGTGGTCCCCTGCGAGACCTCGAGCTCCAGATTGGCGTTGGTGGAGAAGAATGGGGCGGTGACCTGAAGAAATTATGGTACTGGACTGTTAGCGGGGGCAGCTGCTTTTTCATTTTCCGTTTATACATTTTCGATCCAATAAAATTTCACTAACCCCAAACGAGATGCCGACTTTCGTGCAGATGTTGTTGGTGACCTCATCGCTATATCCAAGCGATTCTTCTTCAGCATTCGTCTCGGCAAAGCTGAACGTCTCGAAGAGGGTCTCGGAGCTTTGTGAATTGTCGAATTCGCGAACGGCGAGGACTTTTGGGGACTGCTTCTGGATTTGGACCTGGTCGAAATGGAGGGTCATGGAGATGACGCTGAAAAATCCGCTCTCTCTCTCTTTCTCTCTATTTCTCTCTCACTTACCTAGACGGCTCGTTGCTCTTCTCATAATAATTAGCCGCCTTGACGACTAGCTCTCGATTCGCAAGTCCCTGTAGCTCGCTTCCGGTACCGTATCCTTTGTTGGCCAACTCCACGATACAAGTATTCCGGGTATCTTCAATACTCATTCCACGCAACTCATCCTCTTTCCTCCAGCCATTTCTTTTCAGGATCAGGTAAAGCCCGCCGGCAGCCACGAGAGTCGAGGTGTCGCGCCCCTTTAAAGGTGCATTTCGTTACGTAATATAAATAGTAAGTTTAAGCTAGCGTCATGATTTAACCCCAAAAGTCGCAGCCCTAATTTTTAGGCCATAAGCTCACCTGTAAGTATCCAATAGTTTCAGCTAGTCGGTTGTGTAGCTCGACGATGATGGTATTTCGCTTGTCCTCAGCAGGCATCGAGTTAATTTCGGCTACCGTACGCCACCCTGCCGAGAACAGAAGATCAGCGGCGTTTTCAGGGGTCAAGGTGTCGTGGACCTCACCGTCGCGGCCGGAAAATCCTGAAAATAGCTAGTTCTGACGGGAAAGCGAGGGCGAAAGAGAGCTAAAATAAAAAAATACACGTACGTTTCCATTTCATCACCCTCTGCTTGAACTCGTCCATCTTGTGGACGTTAACATCCTGTATACGAGCTTCAACTCCAATCAGAAGAATAAGTATTACCAGCATCAGGTTGCATTCCATTTTGATGGGACCTTTTGAGGTTGATACTTTGGGATTTTTGGGGTTGGTTGATATAGACAAATATAATTACATTTTTCTTGCTGATTCCTTGCAAAATTGGGGTGTTCTTGGAAAGCGCCGGGATGAATCATGTTCCCCCAATTAGGGGAAAAAGCGGCAAGGATTTGCTGTCCGGTAAATTTAAATTTCAGACCTTGCGGACAGTAAAAAATTCTGTAGCGAACAAGAGAGAGAGAGAGAGAGAGAGAAAGAGAGAGAGAGAGAAGAGGTGGAGAGAGCGAAAGACAGAGAGAAACCTTGGCAACCAGTTGCTTTTCGATGTCATACAAAAATTCGTTGATTGAAGAATCCCAAGAATTTTTTCTTTTGAAAGCTGACGAACTGTGTCTCATGTTTCTATGAAGATGCGACGTTTGCGCTGATTAAGCGGCATTTTGTATGATTTTCCACCAAATAAAATTCGACTTCATGGGAAAATCACCAATCGAACGATGACTGGAGCCTTGCAAGTTTTAGCCTTCCTGTCTTATACGGTTGGAATCGCGGCGGGACCGGTAAGTGATGATCTGCTATCTTATTGTTCTACCGCTTTACAACTTCGAAAAAATGAATAAGCATTCTAATAACTTTAAATTATCTCTTTTAGTCAAAGATCGTCAACGGCGACGAACTCAAACCCGGCAAGGCTCCATATATCGTGGCTCTTACCAGAACGTGAGTAAAACGAATAAAAAAGTAAACTCAAATTAAAACCGAAAAAAGCATAAATTCATAGAATTTCCGAAACCGACATTCGTGGTTGCGGAGGCTCGATAATAGACGAAGAGTGGGTGCTGACAGCCCGGCACTGCACAGGGTCGGGTAACATCTCAATCTTGGCGGGCGCCATTCGGAGGGATGACAATGAGACTGACGTCGTGGTGGGTGGCAGAAATCAGGGTGTATGGAACAGAATTTTAAACATCAAAAAGATACACTTTTAACGCTTAAAAATAATGAAATGAAAATGATTTTCAGCAGCGAATCGATGTCAAAACCATTGAGCGATATGCGCCAGAAGACAGCGATACGGAGGGCCATGATGTTGCAATAGTGAAGGTTAGAATATCTGTTTTCCCGAGCTCATTTTCTATTTGACAGTCATAGTTTTGTCGAGATTTTATTTAGTGGAAATTTTAGTGCTTTTTTCGCCTCAATTATTTATCTAAAACATTTTGCAAATTCAAAAACTCACTACACTGATCGAAAAAAAAGATTTCGACAAAATTAAATTTCGGAAAACTGATAGCAAATCGTTTTCCCGATTAAAAAGTATTTTGTGCATCCGGCTACGCTAAAAAGGCATACTGGAACTGACACTCGATAACTACTTGAGATTAACCGTTGTCTAATTCAGCTGAGCCAGAAACTCAAACTGCTGCCCGGAGCGGTCGAAAAGATCCGGATCGGCGCCAAGAAAGGAGCGTATGACCCGGACGACGTCTTCATCATGGGATGGGGTGTGACGCTGGCTAATGGCACGGGAAAACCGTCTAAAACCCTTAAGGGTTACCCCGCGGTGCAAGTAGACAACGAGCACTGCACATCGTTGGAAGAACGCGGCATCCACTATCTTTGCTTTGAGGCTGTGGATGGTATCTCGAATGCATGTAAGGTTGGTAGCACTACTTCAGCAATAATCGTTGAACATTTTTACTCATCGGAATCGCGCTTTAACAGCATCGCATGAAAATTTATGGCCTATTTTTAGAAAAGGGTATACTACCGAGAGAGGCTTTAAGGTATGGTTGAAGATACTTTCAGGGAGACTCCGGCAGTCCGATCGTATCGCGACGTACTTGCTGCAAGGAAATGGTGCAAATCAGTCTGGTTAACGGACCGGGCCTCGATAGGGGTGATTGTGATGCGAGCAGCGGCCAAAACAGTTAGTATTTGGTGTTCGCCATTTAATTTTATTCTCTCTCTCTCTCTCTCTCTCTCTCTCTGTCTCTTTACTGCTTTCGAAACAGCTAGTTCAAGCCCCCGTTTTAAAAGTTGATTTTCAGCGGCCGGGAAAGATCTATCCTACTATTGCGACTGGATCGAGGAAACGATTGGAAAAAAGATTTGCGTCGGCCTCTTTGACGAATACTAGGCTGAAACGGAATTCATTAAGCCATGAACTTAGTCCGACTAAATAAATTGTTGTTCAGATAGCACTAATCTCAGGTATTACACGTAAAGCAAGTGAAACAAGTAAACACTTACATTTTCGAAAACTTGCGAAACGTGCCACTCATGGCCCAGCCAAAGAAAGCCAGGACAATTACTACAGTTGACCGTGGATTTTCTTGGATATGGGTTCACATGGACTTGCATCCGATCCGCGCAAGGCACAAACTGTGCCCTGTGATCTTTTGATCAATCGTGTCAAACTGTGTCAAGATCGGCTCTAAATATTTTCAAATTATGCATAGCCTAAGCATTTGTTTCAATTTTCCCCAGATTTATTTCGTAAGATCAATTTACATACAAATTCGCTTACTCTCCCGACGTGACGTATACGTCTCCAAACTAGAGTGAGGGGGGGGCGGCCCCCCCCGGGCTTTCTGGGGGGGATTTTTTTCCCCGCCCCCCCCCGCCGGGGGGGGGGCCCAGGGGGGGGGGGGGCCTTTTTTGGGAAAGGAGGAGAAAAGGAATTTATGTTTTTTTAAATTTAAAAATTTTTGGGGTACAAAAAACAAAAAAGAGGAGAGGGGGGGGGGGGGGGGGGGGGGGGGGGGGGGGGGGGGGGGCGGCCGGCCCCCCCCCCCCCCCCCCCCCCGGTGCCCCTTGGGGTTTTTGTGGGGGCGGGGGGGTTGGGGATTGGGGGGGGGGGAAAAGAAGAGAAAAGATTACTTTAGTTTTTTTTTTGGCCCCCCCCCCCCCCGGACACCCCAAAAATAAATTTATTGTAAATGGAATAACTTTCCGGCCAACCACCAAAATACACTAAAACCATAAAAAAAAGGCGGGGGGGGGGCCGGGGGGGCGGGGGGCCGGGGGGCGGGGCAGAGCGGGGGGGACGGGGGGGGGGGGGGGGGGGGAGAGGGGGGGGGGGCCCGGGCCCCCCCCCCCCCGCCCCAGCCCCCCGTCCAAACGAATACGCTCGTCGCATTCCTTTGGTTCTGGTACAAATTCAAATTTCATGATCGGGCAGGAACCAGAAAATTATTGATTCGGAATTGAACGCAACGGCCTCTCCGACCCACCTTTAGTGTTCAGTCATCTCATTGATAACTAAAAGTTCACCGCACAGACAGTCAGAAAAATCTTTTCGTGCCACTGCAACCCCTACACCCAACGAATTCGCAGAAAATGGCTCTGCTTGTGGCTAGGATTTTGCTACTATGCATATTTGCGGTTGGCGCCTCGGCAAGACCTGTAAGTTGGGGTTTTTGGGTCACCCTCCTCCCCGTCGACCAACGCACTGTATCTTGGCTATTATATGCCCTACAGGTCTGTAAGGTATACCAAAATACCCGCCAGGAGAGGGAAAACCTTTTGGTATACCTTAGACATTTTTACGATCGAGGGAAGCCGAGGTACAAAAGTAGGGTGGTCAGTTGGGGATCTCCTCGGGGTCTTACCGCGTGGCGATCGCAGAGAGAGAGAGAGAGAGAGAGAGAGGGGGAGAGGAGAGAGGAGAGACCGAAATATAGAGATAAATAGTCTGTTAATCGTTTCATATTCATAGTTGATGATAGTGAGTGGCAACACAGTGAAAGCCGGCGAATACCCATTCATTGCTGCTCTTCAATTAAAGTGAGTACGACCAGACATTTTGTTGAAAGAATGCGGAAATCTTATGTATTTCTCCTGTTATGGGCGGAGAAATCCTGTGCCCATCTTTAATTTCAATTCTAGCGTGGGGCCTTACGCATATTTTCAATGGTGCGGAGCCTCGATTATCGATAAGGAATGGGCATTGACTGCCGCACATTGCACAAGGGAGCCAGAAACGATGTCGATCCTTGCGGGAGCAATTCGGACTGATGCGTACGGTGGGAAAGAGGTAATGAGTACCAGGAATTTCTTAGATAATAGAACGACGGACAAGAGATCCTTTTAAAGCTTTGGCGGATTTTATTTCGGGACCCAGCCTAACCTGTTCAGAATTTTGCGCTGAGGCCGAATATGTCTACCGTTTTTTGCGAAATAGCCATTCCTCGAAACCTATAAACGGTTGAACCTAAAACCCCCACAAATCGGCGACTTTCGATGGACATAAAAGGCTTCGGCATAGGTTCAAAAATTAGCTAGTGTTCAGAAAAACAATCCTCCATAAATGTCACATTTTTAATCAAAATTTCCGAAAAATTACAAAAATTTTCTACATTTTTATCCCCTAGTCCTAGCATAATTTTCAAAATTGCAAATTCTTGAGTACGGTAGCTTAACTCACAGAGAATTTTTTCGTGAAGAAGGTGCATTAGCTGGATTTTTTATAAAACGTAATCCGAAGCTTTTTGTCCGTCGACAGCGGCTGACAAGTGCCTTTTTTGTTTAAATCGTTTAGAACTTTTCTAATATGGTTTTTGTGAAAAACGAAAACCGTATTCGGAATCAGCGCAAAATTCTGCACAAGACATGCTTGACCCCATCCCGAAGTACGGACGACACTCAAAAAGTCCCCTTTAAGGCTTTTTGTGACATACCATCCTTACGATTAAAATTTATTTCAGCAGCGAATCAATGTAACGGCTGTTGAGTACTTTGCGAACGACATGAGATACAATCCCTATCATGACGTAGCGCTCTTAAAGGTAGGAATTGAAGAAAAATCGGCTTAAAGTGCGCCCAAATTCAGCTCGCCAGCCCACTAGACTTTGATGCTGGCACTGTCGACAAGATCCAGATCGCCAAAACCGCCGATCACTATGAACCCGACCAAATCTCGATCATGGGCTGGAGCATCACGACGTCTGATGGCTCTGAGGATCGTTCCAACACCCTGAAGCGTTACTCAGCTGCTTTCGCCAAAGACCAGTGCAAAGGGCAAGATAACCGCGTCTATAGGCACCTCTGTTTCAAGTCAACGGATGGGATCTCGAGCGCTTGTGGTGTGAGTTACGCCTGAGTAGTATATCTAAAATCAAAATTTTGGATTTCAGAATGTATAAAATATATCCTAAATTGGTGAAACGGGAAATGTTCGATTTCTGGGTTCTTTCGCATTATCGGTGGGGGTAAGGTTTTTCGGGGGACCAAGATTTTTTGTCTGATTTTAGAAATGCCTAGTAACGTAATATAAACTGTTTTTAGGGGGTTTTCCGTAATATCAAACTATATTTCAACACGAAAAACTATCTAAAAACTTTAAAAATTGTAGAAAATTTGTCAAAAATTGGTCATTTTTGGTCCAAAAAATTTATATTTCTGAAATTTTTTAGTAAAAATTTGTACAGTTTTTACGTTTTGGAATAGTAAAAATATTCACAAACCTTTCAACCATTTATATTTGAAAAAATATAACCTAAGAAAAAATTGGTCTCCTCCGATAATGCGAAGGAACCAATTTGTGCTTTAGTGATTCTGACTTTGCGCGTTTTTGAAATAAAAATTGCAATAGGAAAATGGCAATACAAATTTCAGGGAGATTCCGGAAGCCCGATCGTCTCCGAACGTAACGACGGCCTGGGACCGGTGCAAATAAGTCTCGTCCGGGGACCGGGAGTTGATGGACTTGGCTGTGATGCGGCCGCTGGCCAAAGAAGTTGGTTTGAGTTTGAGTTTGATGCCATCAGGAGCCCGAAATGACCCTCAACAAAACATTTTTCAGCGGCCGGCATGGATCTGTCCTACTATTGTGACTGGATCGAGAAAACGGTTGGGAAGAGGGTCTGCGTGTGATCATGTGAGCCGTTATCCATATCCTCAAACTCTACCATTTTCTTGAAATTAATAAATTGTTTTTGTGACTCTTTTCAGTTGATGGCAACTAAAAAAATACAGTTCCACATAGGGCGTCCCGGTAAAAAACACCCCCTCTAACCCGGCGCAGAAAAATCGGATTGGCATGATATATTTACACCATTCAAAAGCCCTTGAAACGGCCAGTTTGCCACAAGCTTGAAAACCAGCTTTTTATTTGTAGGCGTCACTTTACAACGCATTTAAAAACAGTACGGAAAGCTTTTTTTTTGGAATTGAATTTACAACCAAAAAAATTAAAAATTTAAATAAAAAAGAAAAAAAAAAAATTAGTTTTTTGATATTTAAATTTTAAGTTTTAATGTTTTCTTGGTTGTTTGTTTTGGTTTAGGGGGTTTCCCCAAGTTTAAATGACAATAAGTTTTTGTCATGCATTTTTTGCACATCCCTTCAAAAGGTACACTCTGTTTTTCACGCCCTTATCAGCGCTTTTTGAAGTATTCTGACCCGCCCCCGATTTCCATTTCGAACCCCACCCCAGCTTGAGATGCGATCGATATTCATATTTCTACTCTTTTTCGGCTACCTAACTATTACTATTTTTGCGAAAACCTCTGACAAAACAAACCTCATTTTCCGCGTCAATGAAAACGGAAAGAAATTTGGAGCTGAAGCGGCTACACGATTTGTAAGATCAAAAACAACAAACAATAATCTAGTATTTTTAGTTAACGTATAAAAGCCAACAATGGATAAATCGGACCGTACTCCCGGATCAGAATATCGAGACTGGGATTTTTGTATTGACGACGAAGAAGGCGATAATTAGAGAATTCGAGGCACCGAGGTAGAGAGAGAGGGAGAGAGAGAGAGAGAGAGAGAGAGAGAGAGAGAGAGAGAGAGAGGGAGAGAGCGAGCGGGAGAGAACGAGCAAGAGAGAACGAGAGTGATGGAATTCGTATTTTAGCTTCTACACCGAATCCACTGACAATGGAATCATATTAAAACTAGACAAATTCATCGTCGATATTCATGCAGATATGGAGTTTTCGTTCAAGAATTTATTTGTAAGTTATTCGGCTGATGTTTTTGTATTTTTCCATATTAAATTTGTATATAGAAGCTAGCATTTCGTCTGATTTGTTGCATTATCCTTCAAAGACCTTGTGGAAAAGAAGTTGGCGTAATAAAAAACAATGAACTCGGTTGATTATTGCCAAATGTGTATTTCAGAACATGTTAAGAAACCATTTTTATTTGTATTGCCGGATTTGTATAAGAATTTTCCATTTAGTTCGGCCTTCCGATCTGGCCACTATCAAAATTCAACATTGGGCCGAAGATTTGGTACGCCGGGAAAGTGATCGCCCGGCTCCGCAATGGAAAAGCTTCCGCGCTAGCCAATTTCCAACAAAAAGATGGTTATATTGGGTTCAAATATGAAAACTGCAACGTCGATTTGTCTGGGCTAGACATCGAGTACGTTCTTCATCAGAGACTATGCTTTTTTACCAGGTTCCCCTCAAAAATCCCATTTTTCCTCGACATTTTTGGAGGTGTGATAAATCGCGTGGTACAGAATTTGCTCAGAACAGAGGTATAATTTTCATAATTTTGTTGATTATTGATAATTTGAGTGTTTCCATTCATACATTATTCCTTTTAGATCTGTAACTCCTTGGAAAACGTGGTGAAGCCCAGTATCTTTGGCGAGCACTCATTTCCGGTGGAAACGCAATACGGGTAAAATCTATGTAACCTATTTTTTTAAATTGAACAGTTTTTTTCAAGCCTAAAATAAAATCAGAAAAAGTTAAATAACCTGAATAAATCTGGAAACGGCGAAAATCGTTTCAGAGATCGGCGTGAGTATCTCGTACAAACGCCACTATTCAACGTGCTCCATACCGAGTAGGTTGCAGCCTTCTTTGTTAAGCCTAATTTCAAAACGTTTTTATCATCTTTTAGATATTTTTTTGCATTTCAATACTTATCTGCGCAAAATCCACAAACCTTACAATTTTTTAGAAACTTTTCTGAAGCCCAGTTCGCTTTTGACCTCCAATTTTTGAGGGAGAAATGCCCGTATGAGCCACCAAGGTACCCTAGAAGTAAGTTATAATTCGAAAGTTCGCTAATATTGTTAAGGTATGGATACCACCTCCCATATAAATTTTTGGCTATCGGAGCAGAGCCTGAATTGCGACTTGTACGCCCTGTACCGTGGAAATTTCTTGACTTATTTGGTGACGAAGGATCGGGTTCGGCTGGAGCTGTCGGAATATTTGAGGACCACGTGAGTTGGTATTAATTTGAGTTTTAGAAGACTGGAAACCTCAGAATCTTCAAGGAAACTGGAAGGAAAAGACTAGGAACTTCTTGAAGGGGTTTCTTTAGCCCTTGGACGCGTCGCATACACGTTGCGTAGATTTTTACACACGCGACGCAGCCGCTACGTGACGAAAAATAACTCTAAAGGCATCTCGACACGATGAGAACCAAATAAAACTGGGATAAAATCCGATACTGAGCGAATTTTTGGCCTGTTGCTTTTATAGTGCGAACACGCCACGGTTACGTTGTGTCTTGCTAACCTCTCGCTGCTTATACGCTTTTGACAGCAGCGAAAAGAGTAGATATGCGTCAAGTTCCAGGTGTTACTCCTACTCCAATTACATCTGCATGCAAACGTTTTGGCCAGACCTGGCTAGGATGTACCCAAATCAATACCTTGACATCTACGTTCAAGCCAGGGAGACGCCGAAGGTAGGTTAAATTGGTCAAAGCATTATAAGTCTCCGAAACAGGTAAAGTTATATCTGAAATTCGATCGATTTAGGTAGTACTAGCTGACAACATTGCGCATATGACAGGCGAACTACAGCTCGATTTCCATACCCATCCAAAGTCTAATGGATCCCTGGCGACTCTAAGTAATTTCTTAGGAGTTAAAAAGAGACTAACTATACTTTTAGTGCTGACTTTCTCCTGCGATCTGAGTGGTCGTTTGAATAGAACGGTCTTATTGGGAGGGATCTCTAATATTCAAGCTGATATTCGGCAGACGCACTCGGTGATTGGATATTTGTACCCGGAGTAAGTTGACCGTTTGGGTTTCACTTTCAGGGCCATGAAATTGAGAGCATCTACCCCTTTCTCTGACCATAATTGATCTAGACAAATAATATATACAAACCGGACAAACAAAAACCGGATTTTTGTCTCTCGGGTCTGGCTATTAAGCCAAGCAAAGAATTGTAAATACCCAATTTTAGGAGGCTCCAAACCTTCAAAACACGCTGATCAGTGCGGTCGAGCGAGAGCTGAACCGCATTTTTTCCTATGTAGTGACGCAGCACCTATTTTACAACGAAGGTTTTGCAGGTAATTTTTACGGTGGATTGTTTGCTGGATCGAAGAGTTAACTCTTAAAATCACCAAATTTTTACTACGGTTTCAGAAATTACGATTTTTAGACACCACAGCTATCTCAGCAGCGGACGGTTACCTTCGGCTCGATCTGAACTTTGTACATGATAAATTTTGGTGAAGGCAGTTTCTCTCTCTCTCTCTCTCACTCTCTCTCCCTCTCTCTCTTTGTGTACATCCGAATAAATACAGTTTATTGAAGGCTATAACGCTTAGCATGTATTCTTTGTGGCCATCACATCGAACGCCTGCCAGACCCTGGCGTTCATCAAGCAGGTAGTGCCGCCTCCACGCACGTATTGGGATGTCTAGAACTTAATATTGTCGCCATAATAACTTCCAGTTTGCGTCTTATAATTATTAAAATGTCACTAATTAAGATCGGTGAAAAATCCTTCAAAGAAACTCTGCTCGGTTGCCTTTGATTAGTGTTTTTCCGGTTTGTTTTTGCCAAAAAAAAATGCTGAAAGAATTTCAAGCAGTTTTAGTATGCTGGATTATTTTAACGACATCAACAGTAAAATAGCGTCGTTAGTAGCAAGGTATCTTACCATTCGGTTAATATCTCCAATGCAGACATATGGGCTCGTCTTCAGCGCCGACCTGGCCAGCTTGCTGTGGTCCTTTGTGTACTTGAACTCGAGGCTGGCGCCGACCTAAAATAACGCAATTTTTAGGTATATTTGCAGCTGAAAATTTACGGCTAAATACGCTACAAACTACAAGTATACCTTGATCGACAGGGCATCATTAACCGGGTACGCGTTTCCGCAATCCAACGGAACTTCACTGCCACGTCGCCAGCTTTCGACAAGGAACGGGGTCCGGAGGCTTGGGGCCAGGAATTTCGAGTATAAATCTGAAAAGGAATGCTTGCGGATTAGCTTAGGCTTTGCTTAGGCTTTGCTTAGGCGTGAGCTTGGCCTAGGCTTAGCTTTAGCTTCAGCTTAGAGTGTACTGAAACTAACCATCATTGAAATCAGCCGACTTGGCAAACGACTTGAACTGCTGGCCGCCAGCCGTCGTCAGCGTCATGGAGGAGGTGGCTGCGGCTCCTTTTTGGTAGTCTCCGGTAATCAGCTAAAACGCCATTTTCAAGCTGCGGCAAATTTTTGGTGACACCGTCCCTTTAATGTAGTCCTCTCGAGCTTACTTTAGCCAGATCGGGGTTGGCCGCGGCCATCGTGGTCGGCAAGTTCGAGGAGTAAATGTCGGGGTGGTTGTAGTAGAGTTGTGTGCCTGAAAACTCATCTCATTTTCTCTCCTTCTCTCTCTCACTCTCTCTCGCGCTTTCCCTCTTACCGATGTCCTTCAGCTGCGCGTACTTAAAACTCATGCACAGCATCGTCTGTCCATAGTCACGGCCAGAATCCGGATATTGGTACTGATCCGGAGGGGGGAACTTCGGGACCGAGTGGACGAGCCAGACACCAGTTTGGCCGTTGAAGAAGAGGGTTCCTAAACAGGAATTTTTGACAAGCAAGATAGAAAGATAGAGAGAGAGCGAGAGAGAGAGAGAGAAGGAGCATAAAAGTATAACCTACCCTTAGTGTGTCCAAACTGCACGGCCAGCTTCATTGGATCGATCCGGCTGCTGATCCGGTTAGCTTGCTGCGATGACATGGATACGGTACCGTAGGGCTGTAATTAGTAAGTCTTTAAAGTTTTTTAATACACTAAGAAGTTTTAACCTTAGTTACCTCATCGTTAAACATGACGTGGAAGATCGACTTATCGTCCTTGACGGCGTAGAATTGATTCAGGGTATAAGCGATGGCCTGGCTGGTGCTGTTCAGCGCTTCTGGGGAAGGCTTCAAGGCGGTCTGGTCGTTGACGTCCATGTAGTAGAAGGCAAGGCCCTGCTGGATGTCGATGACGCTGTTGTCTGGAAAGTAGGGTAACTCTCGCTCTCCGCTCTCTCTCTCTCTCTCTCTCTCTCTCTCTCTCTCTCTCTCTCTCTTTTTCTTTTTTTCTCTTTTTCTCTCTCTCTTTCTCCCTCCCCTCTTCCGCCTTTCATCACTCACCGACTTCCTTCGGCATCTTGTAGACCATAAACCAGTCGACATCCTTGTTGCTCTGGTCTTTGCATGAGAATGCATAGATGGTAGGTAGCAGCAAGGCCAATGCCGCAAGTCGGAGCAGCATCTCCTGCTCAGTAAAATTTAGAGCGGGAAGGTATTGGAAAGAGCTTTCTAGATTTTTAAATGCTGTAGGTATCAAAAATCAACTTATGAGTTAAATCAGGCACTTGAGAACCCTTTTTAAAGTTTATTAACGTTGCGAAACGCTCAAAATTAAATAGCTAGCTCTCAAAAAATCAAAAAAGCGCAAAAAAGTTTTGAAGATTGACTCGTCATCGCAAGAAAACAAAATCTGAGAAATTCCAAACCCTATAAATCGATCAGAAACCCAGTAAAAAGCTATTAATGCGAGAAATTCCGCAAAATCAGGTTATCCGAAATTCGGGTATAATTATGAAACTTTAAATATGGTTTGAGGAACGCTAAGAAATGCGAAAAAGAAAGTTAATAAGACTCGAGTCGTGAGGAATGGCCCCAAACGCCAAGACCTCTTCCGATTAGACGATTAGCAGATTAGCCGATATTTGGGCGATTTAGATGGCAGATAGATAAGAAACTCACATGGCATAGCGGGACCAGCAAGACAAAAAAATATGGCATTGACAGCAAGCATATTGGCGCTGGTACGTGACCTTGGCCCTCGGAATAATCCGAATTATTACTACAAAACTACCAAATTTCGTTAGGGTCAAGGTATTGCCAAAATTTGATAGAAAAAAGGAGGGAAAAGTTTTGAAATCTTGGAATGGAAAAGATTTGGCTACATTTAGCCTAAATTTTACCTTCAATGGACTTTTAGAAACCTAGCCTGGAGCTTTACCTTTTTCCCGCGTCAAAAACCTTCTGAAAAATGTGAAGAAGCCCCTAAACTTTGTTAAGATTCTGTTAAGAACAACAATCAGTCAAGCAAAAAGGTTTCACATTGCGTTGCGAAGAGGAATTCATCGAATTTCATAGAGGAATCCGTTAGATCGGCCAAAGATAGTGCCATGTCTTGTCAGTCCTAATCTTTTCGAGGGTTTCTTCATTTTAATTGAAAGCAGAAAAACATTAAATTTTAAACAGGAATTTTTATTACCTATCATAATCGTTTAGACTTGGAAAAAAGCCCGAAAAAGTTTGAACTCGTGACTGTCTGCGGTTCGAAAATTCATTGTTTATTTTTCAGCAACGCATTGCGGGCGTTCCGCCAAGAGGAGTGATTCGTAACGTTCGATTTTTATAAAGGTTTGTGGTTTTTGCATGTTAAAAAATGCAAAATGAGAAAGATATTGAGCCAAAATTCTCGCTAAAAATTAATCTCTCCAATTCTAACAAGCGATTTGAAGAAATTTCGTTGTTTTTAGGGTTCAAAACCATAAAATTAGAAATATTTCTTGGCAAGCTGAATTCTCTGTCAAGACCAGGGTTGGTCACGAAAAGAGCGGGAGCTGGGAGCCTGAGCTGAATTGCCGAGCCCCGCCCAAGAGCGGGAGAGGGAGCTGAAAATCCTTAGCTCCCCCTCAGCTCCGGCTCTTGAGCCGGCTCTTTTGGAAATGAGCTAGAGCCGAACCCCGCTTAACTCAAACCGGATTCTGCAAATCAGATATCTATGCAAATAAGGCAATGCAAGGCCAAAAATGTTCAGTTTTATTGGAGTTTTGGGAGATTTGCATAAATAACTAATTTGCAGAATCCGGTTTGAGTTAAGCGGGGTTCGGCTCCCGCTCTTTGCCAAAAGAGCCGGCTCAAGAGCCGGAGCTGAGCGGGAGCTAAGGATTTTCAGCTCCCGCTCGGCTCCTGCTCCCGCTCAGCTCCGGCCCAGAGCCGGCTCTCAAAATGACCAACCCTGGTCAAGACACGCTAAAAACTCCGTGTTTCTCTGTCATTTCATGCATTTTCTGGTATCCTGCATTTTCAACACGTTTGGTACATTACATTTTTTATTAGAACACCAAAACGGGACCATACAGAGGTGGAAAATTACAAAAAAGGTACCCAATTTCAGTAGTTCATCTTTTTTTTGCTCTCTCTTTTCTCGCTCCCCCCACAAAAAACCAGCCGCCCAAAAACGGTCGAAAAATTGGGTACGGTAATAGGGTGAGGGTGCAGAATAAAAAAGACAATAACCTAAAAAAATGAAGACATTAACAAGCCGTTGCCCTATAAAAAATTTAATATGATCCTTTTTAAAATAAAAAAAAATTTAAGGGCAGCGACCAATTGCGGGCCCCGGGTGGTGAATTTGGGGCCCGACTTGTGGCCCGGAAAAAATTTCCGGGCCAGGCCGGGGGGGCGGTGGAAAGCTCGGGTTATGGAAATGATGTAAAAAATGGATTACGGTACTGAATTCGCCAAATATCCCTATCAAAATGCTGAAAAGATAGCTCAATTTTTGAGAGATCGCTTTTTCTGTACAAACGCAAACTGTAGCCTCTGCAAGGAAATTGCGCCAAAATCCCGCGATTTAAACGCTCAAATTGCACTAACCAAATTTTGAAAGTGTCGGACGCAAATGGAGAAGTTCAACAACTCCAGCAAGGACAGAATGCTTTTGTCGCACCAGAAACAAACTCAATTGATCCAGACAGCAAATTACGCCAAAAGCGCACTATTAACTTGGTGAAAACCACTTTTCGTAGGCGCCATGGCGAAGATCAACAACTCCAGCAAGGACAGCATGTCTCGTTCGGTTCAGACACAAACTCAATTGCTCTGAAGGAGAAACTACGCCAAAATAATGCTCTTGAATGAGTCAAAACTACTGTACCAACTTTTCGAAGCTCCTGTAGAAGCTCAACAATTTCTGCAAGGAGAGCACGCCTTTTTCGCGCCAGAAACAAACTCAATTGCTCTGAACAGAACACTACGCCGCAATAATTCCATTGGATTATTCAAAATATCGCCAGAAATCGCACTTTTTTACTCCGAAATTCACCGAGAATCGTAGGGGGTTGGGTCGAGTGTGTCGACGCCGAGTGGGCGGGGCCAGGGGCCGCGAAGGGACCGCGAAGCAGCAGCCCAATTTTCGG